ATATGTCTACAGGTAGCTTTCCAAGTCAGATTTGGCCACTCTGACCTATTTTAGTGGATAAAAACTGCTATTTTGTGCCATTCTGAAGGGGAAGCTAAGCAGCATGCATCAAATCAGAAGGGAAAGAGGGGACTGCATGATTTTTCCTTGCCTCCAACAATTTTGTTTTGATCTGAAAAAAACCCCGTGGCCACAAAGAAACCAGCTGCATAAGTAAGGGTAAAAACTAAGGCTGGTTAAAAATTAGTTCAGTTTAAGAAGTCTTCCAATAAACAAAGAAGAAAAAAATTTTCTAAATTATTGTATTATAGTATTGACCTTCCTGTAAGAGCTTTCATAAAGAGCTTGTCAGTAAATGAGCTTATGAGGGAGGCTGAAATGGAAAAAGGAAAGATCTATATCGTCGGCATCTGTGAACTGTACCTACTTTTTGTCTGCCCCTGACACAGCATCTCCCTTTCACCCAACCCAGCAAGGATTTATTTAAGAACAGAACATATATCTATTAAGTTTAAAAGAAAAGAAACAAAAATATCCAAAATTCTTTCTTATAAATTAATTTTAAAATCCGTAATTTATTCAATTAGCCATTCTGCTTTCTTGCCTGTCAGTAAAACAGGGGCCATAAGCCACTTTAACATTCAGTTTCTGTGGATGCATTTTCTTGCCTAGTTTTCTGTTCTTCTCTTGCACTGCCAAACGGTCCCACCAAATTAGTCACACTGCTGGCATGTCCTGGTCTTTTTAATTTGTCCTTTACAGACTTGGCTTTCCGAGAGTGGCTGTGCAAACTCTTTGAACGTACTGGTGGGAGCCCAGAAGTCCTTTCTGGCTTTACTGACAGTAAATTCTCTTTCTCAGCCTTGACAGTGGCAGGCATAGGGGTGTAAGAGGCACTCATACCTGCTTCAGCAGCGTTACTATCATCATCTGTGTCCATCTGTAGCTGTTTCTCCTCTGCTTGCCTTTCTGCTTCAGAGACAAGACCAGGGTATTCTGGAGGACGTTCTTGAGAAAGCTGCTGCTCAACTTCATATTTCCACTCTGTGGCCCACTGTTCAATTGTAGGAGGGCACACCTGATCCATAATGGTGCTATACTCTGCGGTCCAGTTGTTAACTCCTCCAACCAGCTTCCCACCTTGTGCAAATATAAAGCTCCTTGACTTCATCATAGTGGTTTGACAAGCACTGAAAGTTTCAGGAGGAAAATAGCGCATTGCTTTAGATTTTTCCAAGGGATAAGAGATGGTGGCTTCTAACTTGGTACGTTCTACTTTTAACTGAGTGTTCTGAAAATCTGATCCTGCTACTGACTGACTGTTTGTAACAGCATCCATCTGGTTTATACTTTGAGGAACCATTCCATTGCTACTGAAAATCCCCTGCTTTTCATCCCCCAAGCCACCCGACTGAGAATGGGGTCTGGAATCACTCTGTGCAATATCTAATGTAGATTTACTGTGATCTGCATTAGCACTAGAGCTATGATGGGGACTGCCGTGGTGTTCCGGAACCAGCATCTTTGGGTCTGCTCCATCTTCTTTGGCACCAATAGAGTGGGCTTTTCTCCGCAGTCCCAGGGCTGGTGACATAGGAGTGCCACTGTCATCAAAGATCAGCTCATCTCCACCGACCTGGTACCTGTACACGCTGTAGCCATCAGAGCTGTTGACACTGCTCTGCCTCAGCAGATAAGCAGCATCACACTCGGAGGAGGCCCGTGAGCGCGGGTACGTCAGCTCCGACTTGTCGATCCCTGCCAGCTTCTCCAGGGCATTCACCATGCGGCCAGAGAGCTCCTCCAGCTGCGACAGCCGCAGGTCCACTGTTTGCAGAGAAGCTTTCATAAAATGCTCTCTCTCATTCACTTCTTCCAGCCTCATAGACATATTTTCAACTCTGTGGGGTATAAAAGAGGAAGCACAGACCAGAACCTGTAGAATGGTGCAGTAACCCATTAAAGGCGCCCAGCTCCCCATTCCCTCCTAAGGCAGCATTCTGGGGTACGTGCCATGCTTCATTCTTTCTGCCTATATGTGCATTTTCTTGTTATTTATGCTTTCCATATACCATATTAGAGGGCTATTTGAACTTTGCCCTGCCAGGAGAGTCCAACAGTTGTAGCCCTTAGGGGCAGTCTACTATTAACACTTCTGTGTGTGCCACCCACCGCATGCTCAGCTGTCCTTTCACTGTGAAGCATCAATTAATTACATGAAAAGTACTTTCTAATGACATGCTCCCAGGGTGACTTAAAATAGCATCAAAGCATGTTGTAAAACAGGTTTTGTAGCTGTATCAGAGAGAACATATGCTGGTGTTGATGGGATTGCTTTAGCTCTTGAGATACCTTTCTATTATGTATCAGCTGAAGGGAGTGGAACTATCATCCAGTTCAATTACAATAATACTTTTCCCCATTTTCTCTTATCATTTATATCATAATGGATATGATGGCACTAGAAAAATGCATATAAAAGTAATTCATTAGAATGTGACTTAGAGATCTAGTAAATCAACTGTGGAAATTAAATCACATCCTTTTGCTCTCACACACAAAAGATGACGAAGCATCTGGAGCAAGAAGCCATGAGAAATAAGCAAATCTGCTTTGTGGCCACAGACCATAGTGAATCAGTGAGGCTTACCAGCCCTGCTTTATTCTCTGCCACAATACCTAGGATTTTGACAAATTGCCATGGATAAATAGTGCAAGAGAAACTACCCAAATACATGGAGCAGATTTAATTTCCTTCTCTAGTCTCAAATTTCACATTTAATAATGCAAGATGCTCAGGGCCTCTGTCAAGAGAAAGATACTTATCTGTTAAAGAATTATATGGCTCACAGAACTATTTTAAAAGAAATGTTAAAAGGAAGATATATATTAATATAGATATAGATGTATATAGATATATAGAGAAATATATATGTGGAGTACTTCGTCATCAGAATACCACGTAGTAGATTAGGTGAAAAAGGGTTTAAACTGTATATAGTTTTTATTACAGGGAGAATTTTTCATCATTCAAGAAAGTGACAAAAACCCCCATCTCTTGAGTTCCTTACATCTCCTAACAGAACAGGCAGAGCCTTTGGGAACAGTCCTGCCAAGTGACCTGGTAAAAAAGCTCTGCTGCCACTGTGTGCTTACACAGCAATATGCAAACGTCACCTAGTCCTCAGAATAGCTTAATGATTTACATGAGAATATTCCCTGTCTTTTAAAAGGGGAAGTTCATGCTAAATGCCTTGTTCGAAGCTTCCAAGAGAATCTGTGGCAGAAATTAAAAATTCAGCAGCTGTGGGTGCCAGACCTCAGTATCAACCACAGGGAAGAACCTTCAGTGCTTTTGTCATTAATCTCCAACATGTTTCTCAGGGTTGGATGAACAGCTGGAAACTCAACAAGTGGCAATTTACTCAGATAGAAATTGTAACTGTGATCCTCAGATGGGTGAGAGATAAAAAATTCATTCTTATAACAAAGCTACCGAAAGCAGCAGATTTAGTGACACACCAGCAGGAACAGCACAAAGCTTGCTCTTGTGACAGATGTACCTGCTCAGGTAGTTACTTGGGATTCAGATCACCTTCTGAGTTGGTGATGGTTTTCTTCAAGATCTAAATCTTTTATATTTTAACTCAACTGTGGTTATAAAGAGGTACAAAAAAGCAAATACGGTGTGGGTTTTTTCCTTCTAATAGGTACCTTTCAGAGGTAACTCTGATGCGTTCATCATTGGATGATTGCTGCTCGTCCTCTTTCTCCTGGAAGTATTCTTCCACACACTCCTCTTCAAACTCATACAGTTTTTTTAGCTCTTCATCATTCAGAAATAACTCTGTGCAAAAGAGAAGAACAAAACAGGAGTTTTTCTGAACTTCTGGCAGTCAATTTAAATCCAATTTGGCAGTTTATTTTGGACATGGGCATATTGCAGATTCTACTCCTGCACTAAATGAACAGATGATTTTTTAAATAGGGAATGAGCACGTAGCCAAAGACAGGCCCAGCTGTGAAGGCAATGGAATGCATTATGACCATCATGTCCTGTGACCATCCCTGGGCCTTATATGTTCTCAATGACTTTTGCACTTTTTAGCAGCAAGTGCTGTGTGTTGAACAAACTGAGCAGCCCTTACAAGACAAAGACTAAGGCAAGCTCTGCCAGCTCGAGTGTTCCTTCACTCAAATATTGTTCTTAGAAGGATGCCAGTTGTAGGCAACAGATAAACTAACAGATTGTTCACAGATATTCTTTGGATAATGTTCAGAAATGTATAACCATGTAAGAAAAATCCAAGGGGAATATAAGCTCTTGGGAACATTTTATCCTTTATTTGGATTTGTCTCTTTGCATTTGGAAGGAGGGTTACATTTAACTTTTTCCTTTTTCTTTTTCCTATTGTGCAAAAATGTTTCCCGTGAAATGTAGAAATAGAGGGATAATTGTGAATATGTGATTATTTCCATGAGGCATATAATGAAAATAACAATTAACAGTTGCAGGGTAGGTTAGAAGAAGTCTCCTCACAGTTTCCCTGTGAAATGACAGATAAATCTCCAAATGATAGTGGGGATACTCTTAGTCACAGGTTGGTCACAATCACAGAGCTGACACTATAGATGGCATTTGAAACTGTGATCCCTTCTTCTCAATTTCCTTTTTGCCCTTCCCAACATGGACTTCGCTAGAACTTGAGTAGATACTATCTCACTGTTTTAAGAAAGCCTGTTAAAGAAAGTCTTCATTAGCATCATAAAATTGCATGTTCTCAGATGCCCCCGGAGCCCAAGAGCTGTTAACTTGACACAAATCTTGGCCCACACTGTCTTCTGCAAATACACTTGATTGTACACCTGAACCAATAGTTCAGTGTTGTAAAAGCTGGTGCTTTCTGCTGAGATGGTGCAAAGAGCTCAATTTAGAGAAGATTTCCCTCATACTCAGTCCCCTGTCACGCTCATCCTGGTCTCCATCCCCCTTCTTGCAGCGACAGCAGATTCTCTTGATGATGATGTAGATGTGGCTGAAGATGATCATGGGTGGAGGCAGGACGGGCCTGTCGTGGAACGTCATGATCAGCTGGTACCGCTGGAACTTCCACACTTGGTTGGATATTGATTTTACCTCAAAGAAGGTATTGCTGAAAAGAAACATGGGTACAGTTGCTATTAGGTCCCTAATTTTACTTATCATTGAGCAAGTACTCTGCTGAAAAAAGCAAAGCCAAATAACAACATTGAGCCACAGGACCTGCTTGGTTCAGCTCTTTGTTGGTGCTACTGAACTGATAATTAACTGGAACTCATGATTTCACCACTCCTTCTGAGGGTGCAAACAGAAGGTGCTCTGCATCCCTTATGCACCACCCGGAACAGTCCTCTGGGATCATTTGCTCCTACTGTATAAATCCTTTAGGGTGTCAGTGAAAAGAGACTTGCACAATTTATGCATCACATAATTGGTATTCTGGGGCTTGGTTATGAACTATTTCTTTTACCACATGCCAGTATTTGATGCTACACAAAGTATTAAATCCCTGAAAAGTATTTTGTATGCTAAACTCAGAAGATTCACATAGTTTGCCTTTAATATGTTAATCAGCTTGACCTACATAGAAGACTTTTCAAGTTTCACAAAATGTCCTAAATTTAAACTTTATTCACTCAAACTTCTGACTTGAAAACATGGTGCATATTCTTGTAAAGGAATTTGTTCTTGGAAGCCTCATCATTTTTACAGCAAAATAAGGTGTGTTGTAATGATGGTTTATTTTGAAATTCAGTGAATATGAAGCAATATAAGTGATAGTATTCAATCCAGAGATAACAATAGTCACAGTTATGAAATACCAACTAAGGGAAAACAGACTCGATATTCTGTCATAGAAAAAACTTTTCAAGCTATTTTAAAGTATGCTCAGACAGCTCACTCCACTTGTATGATGGTGATGATATTTGCACTTCCTTTTTTATATTTTCTGTCCACTTTTCTAACTTCATGTGCTTTAGAACATCTCCATTCATAAAACCAGTTAAAACGCCTCTTTGAAACCAAAGAACTCCTGTGTACACAGAGCTTTGGCTTTCTTCAGGTTAGCTACACGTGAGATTATTTACCAATGATAAATAACAATCTGCCTTCATTCTGTGCCTCCTTTCTAGCAGGATCCCAGCCCTCTGCACCCCTGCTGGCACGGCAGGAGTTAACAGCATGACCTACTTCCCAAACTGCTGATTCCTTGGTCCTTCAGCCAATAATAGCTCCCATTGTGAGATCCTTCCCTTCTCCCCCCGCTAAGTGACTGGCATTCCAGCCCTTTGAAATTCGTGACCTTTTAAGCTCCATACATCCAATGAAAGACAGGCTTTGTGCTTGTGACACCAGCTTCCTACGCCAACAGGCAAAAATGGATCACCTGCTTTGCTCAGGTGCTGTGTTCAGTAAGTATTACCAGCAAGTAGTTATTCCTTTTTTTTTTTTTTAATCCCAAGGTCATGAGAGGAAAACCATGCAGTGTAACGTAGGTAGGAAGAACAAGCAGCAGAAATTTATGTAGTTTTACTCCAGAGTAGTCTAAATATAGATACAGATAAATATAGATAGTGCACACTGCTTGACCACAGACCTTGGCAACGTGTAGCCATCCTTCCTGTTGATTTAGGCAATATAGACTCTTTTTTTAGGTCTTATAAGAATTCTGCAAGGCCCGAATTTCTTTTTCTAAGTGAAAAACAAAACAGGAAGAATGAAGAAAAAAAAAGCCAGATGGTGTAGTGGGAATGCCTCCTGCTTTGGGTGCTGAGATTTTTGTGCTGTTCTGTTGCAGAGTCAGCAGCCAGTGTCTCCACTGGCTTTATCCTGTGCATAGCAGGTTTCATGGATTCTGTTTCTCATCTTTCCAGAGCAATCTTGAGGCCTGTCATTACCCATTAAAAGGTAATTGCAAGTAGCCAGATTCTCTCCTATGCCTTACTGCAACTGCTGGAAAACTCAAAGGCACCTTTCCTCCCCTCCTGCCCAGTGTACACACCACTGCCAGGATTTGCCAGAACCATTAGATTCTGAAATGCAAAACCTTGCAAAATCAGCTGATGGGCTCTCAAAGAAATTTGATCTCAACAATAAGAAAAAGACCCGTGATCATTTACATACTTGAAGACAGCAATCAGCAGGTTTACCAACAGGATATTTGCTACCAAGAGGTAACAGGCCATGATGGCAGGAGTGAGCCAGGCCCCTGGGATACACGGAGGGAGGCGTTTACCATCATCATCATAAAGATTGTCCCCACAAGGAGCTGAAGAAAAAACAGGAAAGGCATTTTTCACAAACTGCCCGATATTTAAAAACACTATTCACATTTATTTAATGATGAGACATGCATAAAATTTGCCAAATTTTGTCAGTCTATTTCCAGTAGCAAGTATATATAATTTCTACTTCAAATTCTGCTTCTAACTACAGCTTATAAAAACAATTTCCTGTATTAATGAACAGAGAGGCAGCTCCAAGTTTACTGCACAATGTGGCTTTCTCTTCAAATTCATTTGGATTTTCTTTTTCTCATACTAATAGTTTAGGACAACATCTTCATGTGTATAAAACATATTAATAGTGGAATTAAAAAACAATTCTTCAACCAAGCTTGTGTGCATACCTTGCCAAAGATACATAAGGATTGGCTTGGTAGTCCCAGATTGCTGAGCATAAATTAAACTTTTACTGGGGCCCTGAATGTATTAAATAGGCTTTTAATGACCCTGGACCAGCTTTACTGGGGGTCTACACGAACACCCCCTGTGATCCCTGTCCCTCCCGGGCTGTGTCAGGTGTGCAGGGCCAGCTTTTGGAACCATTTAGTAGCAGGTAAAATGTTTGTCAACCACAGGTTCTTTAGCTGAAATCTCAGCAAATACTAAGTCTGACACCATGGTCATTACAGATTTAGTTTATGTGAACAGAATCCCCAGGGTTTTTAAACATTTTGCAAAAAACCTCAATGTTTCAACCTCACCTGAAAAATACTTCAATTTATTTGAAAACAGACTAATCTTTTTTTCCTGTGGACTGAAAGAGATATTTAGACTATAACTAATAACATTTATTTTACTCAAACATCAGACCTATATTTTTCCAGGTTTTCCTAAGAAAAGTATAACAGAAATGTTAAGCAAATCGTAATTTTATTCAAAAGGACCAGTCAAAGTACTGCCAAAAACCCAGTAACATTGTACTATGTAATCAAAGGGAATTAGTTATACAATGCCAATTATGCATCATAATTTAAAAAACCAGATTATTTTACTGTTGGTGTACTAGAAACAAGTCTTAGCAGCCACATAAACTCAATTAAAACCTCTGCTCTGCATTCGGTATTAAAATAAAATATTTTTCCTCTGCTTATTTTCAAATGAAAGTATTACAGTAGATAAACAGGATTCACACCTGAACATTGGATGAGTGCTATAACTAAAATGTGAGAAACTAGTCAAGAAAAAGATTAATGAACGTATTCAGCTAAATGAGATAATCAGCTCCCCACAGACACTTACGATTAATTTCCATGGCATAGACTGAAGAGCATTCCAAGGAATGAAAGAGAAAAGGAGGCAGGGAGAGAAAGAAAGAGAATAATAAAGAAACAAGACCAAAAAAAGATGATTGAAAATACAGTTCTGCTGCCAAGAAAAGATAAGCAACTCAAATGTCAGAACAGTAGAGACATATGCCTCGAAACAATGTCTTTGTTAAAAATGCATTGCATTCTGCAATTTCCTTTTCATGCTGTTTTCCCCAAATGTTACATATGGCAGCGAATTAATGACAGTAATAAAATATCACAAAATGCTCCTGGCAGATGATCATTTAAATATACAGGATATTTCAGGCAACTAAACAAAACTGGCATCACCACGAACACGAAACAACTCAAAACTATCACACAAAAATCATTCTTTTAGCTATTATGGAAACATTTCCTCTCTTTTTTATCTTTTTTTTTTTTTTTTTTTTTAAAAGAACTACCCTGGTTTTGAGTCTATCAGATGTTTCTTTTGAATAGCTATGTTTCCATTAATAGCCAAGATATTGTACACTGTAATAACATCAGTATCATTAGAGCCCATTTTGACTACCAGTGTGGATACTTGCTTGCCAGTTCCTAAATGGTGATTGTAAGAAAAATCACACTATTGAAAGAAACTCAACCAGGCTTCTCTATTGTTTAAGAATGTGATGCTGTTGAGCACCAGATGCCAGGAACTTCTTGCTCATGGGTGTCTTCTAAACAGAGTGAACCACACAAGGGCACCCTGGGTTCATTAGGAGTGTTACCAGCAAGTAACAAGGAGGTTATTTTTCCATTCCCTTCTCCTCAATTCCAGTGAAACCACACCTGGATTTCTGTCTCTAGTTCTGGGCTCCCCCATAGAAATCAGAGTATAAACCTGACTGAGCAACCCCCAGTCCCTGAGCAACCTGCCCTGTTTTGAGCAGGAAAGTTCAGCTGGATGTTTTCCAAAGGTGCCTCACAACCCCAGCAAATTCTGCAACTTGTGATCTTCCCATTCAGGTGACACCCTGTCCTCAGTGAAGCTCCTGACAAAGTCACCTTATTTCAGATGGAAAATTCGATGTCATACTTTTCCCATAAACTGTTTACACCCCTGGGCCTTGGCAAAACAGCCCAACCTCAGGAAGATCAGTGACAATTTCTTGTTGAAAGCAAAGAGATCTTCAGGAGTCAGTCAGTAGACTTCTACACATAAAAAAATTACAGAATAGTTGAAATGCAGTCTAGTTACACTTGTAGAATGCCTTGCATGGCCATAATTATTTCAATATTAAAACTACACAAACCCACACATTTCCAAGTTAGCTTATGTTTAGGCTACTGACACAGCAAAGCTTCTGACCTGGGAAGGAGCAAGTAGCTGAACTTGTGTAACTGGAAAGCTCAAACTTTTTGTCTCACAGATATTTTGCTCTGCTGAATAAAGATTTCTAATTCAAAGGATGCTGAGTATATAACTACATGACTAGAAGCACGAGAGAAGCCTGGGACACCACTTACACTGAAGAGATCAGTACAGCTGGGCAAGGTATGAGTTTTGATTTATAAAGAAATCAAACTGTCTACATTGGCAAACATTCTTTGTCCAAATTGAAGTAGGATTTCAATGCACATAATGAGGTAAGGGATACTCTGTTACAGTCACTTCCTCCCCATAGGAGAACTGACCCATTTGTGAGCCAGGATAAGCTCAGGATCTCTCATGTGCACCAAAACTGCACTATCAGACAGTAAATGAGTAGCTTGACCTTTCATTTCATCAAGTAATTTACTGTATCATAAGTTATATTAATGAGACAAGCATTCATTAGGAAAACAAAGAGGATATGATTTTTGCAACAGTGTACACTGTTCAGAAACAGAGCAATGACATTTTATTCCTTTCTAAGCAATTAAAGTGCACTTTAATGACATTTGGTACAAAAGCTTGTCTTGATGATGCATCTTTATGGTTTTTCAATGTAGACCTCCAGGTTCATCAGCCTTCCACTTTGCTACCTGTCAGTATATGCAGATGACTGAAATAACACCTGCACAGAGCTGAAACAGCAGCTTGTACTATTTCAGGTGAAGTGCAAACTACAGGATACACACTAGAGGAGGCCAGCTGCACACTGACTGTCATCCAAATTTGCAATATTGACACAGAATTAGCAGCAACAGGACAGTTTCCATCTCATTTAAAACACTGACAGCTATTTTTTTAAATTATGCAGGTTTTTTTAGAAGAAAGGCTATTTCCACACCCAAAGCTAATCAAGCATGGTTTTGTTCTCCCACAGGTGTAGAAAAGAAGAACACTGGTGATTCATGAAATGGAAACATCCCTGAAAGCAGACAGATGCATGAATGGGAGTAAAAATGTATGAGCTCATTGCCTGTGCTGTGAGTTGGAGATGAAAGGATATGTGTATTTTAACCTCCTGTGCAAGGTATTTATTTTTTCTTCTTCTGTTGGAACTATTAGTAAAACTTTGGTTCAAAAGAACATTTCAAAATGATCTCTCTTGATCCCTGCAAGTAAACAGGGATCTTAACACTGTTATACTCTTGGACAGGAGAATAATCCAGACTATACCACTTTCAGTGTTAACTGAATTTGAATATAAACTGAGAGGCAAGACATGCAGGCGGGGAACAGAGAATTGTTCAGTCTCAGGTCTGTCACAAGAAAACAACAACAACATAACCATAAAGAGAAAACACTACTTCCAAATTAAAAGAAAAAAATCTTTAATTTGGATCTGATCATCTGCCTCAGAAACAGGAAACAGACTCTTACTATGAATTCTACTCTTACGGTCTATCTGGTCTGCGAACACCTCTCCGTAGATCATCCAGTAGGGCATGTAGAAGATGTTCCGGGCCAGCCTCCAGGAGGGCTCCTCGTCGGGGTGCAGGATGGCCTGGCGGGCCACCCCGAAGCTCATCAGGACCACGAGCATGATGACCACGAAGTAGAGCATGTCAATCATCTGCATGGACAGAGCACAGGAGGCTCTGGTCAGCCCTGGGTGGCACAGCAGCACCAGCAGGGCTGGGTGCCAGCACACGTGCAACAAGGGAGCACCAGGAGAGAGTCTCCCCCATGTTGACTTTCTACTGCTCATGAATTAAGCACACATAAAAATGCAGAAAAACCCAACTGTTTAAAGGAATAATAATTATATTTATTATTGTAATATTATTTTTAATAATGATTATTTTATTATTATACTTAAAGTGCTGAAGTCTTTGCTATCCCTATTCTCCTTGGCATCAAGTGCACTATGCTGTGCTCTCAGCACAGACCTCTTCTGTGGTGGCACAGCAACTATTAGATCATCTCTTCATCATCTCCTGCCCACAGCTGATGGTTTTGTGGGTGATCCTGGTGTATCTGCAGTCTATTATTCCAAGACTTACTATATCTTGAGTGTGTGTGAAATTCACAGGGCAACTTTTCACAGGCTTTATTCAGAGTCCTACTCGATGGAAAACCTCCTTCTAAATCAGAAAGGAATTTAGTTTCCCATGAAGTTCTGAAAGACATAATTTATAGCAATTCAGGCACTAACCATCTTTCCAATCATCATGACGT